TTTTTATAATCAATAGCTAATTATATTTTTTTTTCAATTTGGTTTATTTAGCCAATAATATTCATTCCACGTGAAATAACGTAAATGGCCGCATACTAATATTTCGTCATAATAAGCTTCCCCTTGACTCTTAATAAATAAAAGTAGAAATCTTTTTCATCTTTTTAATAAAAAAATTCTCTTTTTCAAACGTCTTAAACAAATGGCACAAATGGACTCACAAACAGCACCAAGTAAGTGAAGAATATTTTACATGTCCACGTCCACGTCCACATTCACGTCAACGCCAACGTCAACATCAACGTCAACAACGTATTTGTGGAAACCTTGAAAGTCTATGAAGGTCTACCGATTCTGGAGGAGGAATCGGTTATGTACCTCCCTTCATAGCAGTCGTAGAAATGACATTCATGATTCACACATTTCGTTTCATATTCACATTCACGCGTTCATACTCACGTGTCACGTTCACATTCACATTCACATTCACATTCACGCGTTCACACTCAAGTTTCACGTTCACATTCACGTCATGTTCTTACACTTACACTTTCATTTTTTAGAACCAAAAAAACAAAAGACTTCTTGCTGTTCAGCCCAGCAATCTGTTTTTATCGGTAGAGTATATTTGAACGGTGTTAGTAGTGGCAAAATTAAAAACCTTTTATCAGATATTTTCCAAATGGAAAATTGTCATATACTAAAGTGCAAGAGCGAAACTTACGGGCATATACATTTCAAGACCGAGAATGATGCTGGATTATTTTTTCAACGTGTTCAAGGACAAACCTTTGAATTCGAATATAATGATGATCCTGGCGAAATTAAAACAATTTCAATTAAATTTTTTCCGTCAAAAGAATACGGAAGGAATAACCATACTATTTATAAGATTCAGGTAACACGACTAAATTCTCATTGGTGTGATTTACATTTTCATTTACTGTATGTACATACTATATTTTTTATCTTGTTCTAGAATAATGAACCACGAACTGACATCTCAACCGGGAGCACCACCAGTACCATAACCGCCAGCACCGGAAACATTGAAAGCACTACCAATACCAGAAACATCGAAAGTACCACCAACACCTGGAACAACGATAACAGAACCACCAGACCGGGCATTGGGAACAGCAACTCTGGCATCTCAGCAGACATCTCATCAACCGGAATCTTAACCGGCATCTCAACCAATGATGATTTAAGGTTTAAAGGCGTTGATTACTTTTTAAGAGATTTTTTTAACATTGGAGAAGACGAAATATTGAAATTTAAAAACATTCCTGGTTATTATTTTCTCCAACTCAACGAGGAAAGGCTTACAAAAAAGCCGTTTAAACTGGATTATGTTTTAGCAAAAAATATCGCTGAATTAATCGAAGGATTAAATCACATTCTTTTGGCCGAGAAAAAGCTTAGTATAATTAATATGCCTTTTGAATCAGTCGTAAAATTTGCCAATGAAGTGGAGCAAGAGAAAGTATGTAATTAAGAGAACATTGAAAAAATTGGCACATAAACATGATTTGCCTTTTTTTTTTTTTTTTTTTTTTGATGCACTGCAAACTTTATTTAATATTTCAGTAAAAAAAGTAACGTAGGTGAAAAATATTGAGATATCCAATTTTATTACACATTAGTTATAACGATTTATAATAAAAAATGGCGTACTGTACTGTACATATTTTAGCTTTTAAGAAGTCATAATTTTTATTTTTATTTTTTCTTTTTATGCAAACATACTATGCATTGATGTTCTTATTACCTTTCTTTTTTATGGCTGTAAATTCTTCATTATGAATGATTGAAAGTGGTAATGTACACAAAAGAATAAATCATATAAGTCATTGTGTTAAATATGATTGTTGTGCATGATCATATGTTTCGAGTAAGTGTTCTAATTTAGATTTTCTTTTACCGTTTAGTTTCAATCATATTACTAGTTAAGCCAAACCAAATATAATCAGTTTTGCAT